CTACCCAGGGGGACAGCTTGAGGCTCTGTCTCAAAAAAAAAAAAAAAAAAAGAAATGAACAAACTGTTAAAATGATACAAATTCCCATCCGGTCCTACATGTCATCGTTCTTTAGAAATAAAACTAAAGTCGGGGCTGGCTGCGCCTGGGGCTCAGTAAGTAGGGCGCCAGCACCATATACCGAGGGTGGTGGGTTCAAACCCAGCCCGGACAAAATGCAACAAAATATAGCTGGGCATTGTGGTGGGCACCTGTAGTTCCAGCTACTCAGGAGGCTGAGGCAAGAGAATCAACCTAAGCCCAAGAGCTGGAGGGTGCTGTGAGCTGTGACATCACAGCACTCTATTGAGGGTGATAAAGTGAGACTCTGTCTCTCTAAAAAAAAAAAATAGCTGAGTGTTGTGGCGGGTGCCTGTAGTCCCAGTTACATGGCAGACTGAGGCAAGAAAATTGGCTAAGCCCAAGAGATGGAGGTTGCTGTGAGCTGCGACATCACCACACTCTAATGAGGGCAACACAGTGAGACTCTGTCTCTAAAAATAATAATAATAATAATAACTAAAGACAGAAGACTAAGCAATACAATCACACAGTAATCGATTAAGTGGGCCGAACACTAACATCTGCTGTTCACACACCAAATCAGACATCTTATTCTGCCCAGCCTCTCCTAATTGATTTATTTTCTTTAAGAGACTGAGTCTCCCTCTGCCATCCAGGCTAGCATGCAGAGGTACGATCATAACTCCCTGCAACCTCAAAATCCTAGGCTCAAACAATCTTCCTGCCTCAGCCTCCTGAATAGCTAGGACTACAGATGCATGCCACCACACCCAGCTATTTTGTTTTGTTTTTGCAGAGACAGGGTCTGGCTGTGTTGCTCAGACTGGTCTCAAATTCCTGACCTCAAGCATTCCTTCCTACATTAGGCTCCCAAATCATTGGGATTACGACCATGAGCCATAGGGGCTGCCTTCTCCTACCTGACTTAAAGGTTGACCTAAGAAAAGTTCCTTAGCATTCAGATTCAAGGACCACTTAGTACAGTGGTTCTCAACCTAACGCCACAGCCCTTTAATACAGTTCCTATGAGTCGTGACCCACAGGTTGAGAACTGCTGACTTAGCAGATTAACCAAGTTACTTTAGTTGTATAAATGGAATATGAGAAAAAAAGTGACAGCTCAGCACCCATAGCACAGTGCTATGGCAGGTTCGAGCCTGGCCTGGGCCAGCTAACCAACAATGACAACTCCAACAATAAAAAACAACAGCCAGGCATTGTGGCGGGAGCCTGTAGTCCCAGCTATTTGGGAGGCTGAGGCAAGAGAATTACTTAAGGCTCTGCACCTATAGCTCAGTGGCTAGGGCTCCAGCCACACACACCAAGGCTGGTGGGTTATAACCCAACCTGGGCCTGCCAAACATCAATGGCAACTATAACAAAAACATAGCTGAGCGTTGTGGCAGGCACCTGTAGCCCCAACTACTTGGGAGGCTGAGGCAAGAGAATCACTTAAGCCCAAGAATTGGAGGTTGCTGTAAGTTGTGACACCACAGTACTCTACCAAGGGTGACATAGGGAGACTCTGTCTCAAAAGAAAAAAAAGTGATAGAGAAGCCCAGAGACCTTCACAATAGACCTTGAATGATAAAGGACTACGCAAAGCTTTGACAGAGAGGAAGGGCACATTCAGGAAGCACTAAGGAGACTGAGAGGCAGCCAACAGAGTTTCTAATGCAGCAGAAAGATGTAATCCCACCAGGCTCTGGAGACCACCCACAGTGAGGGGTGCCCTGAGGTATGCATTGTTACCTGGGTAGGTCTGCAGTGAGGATCAGCAGGAACCAGGAAGACCTCCATAACTCGATCTTTCTTCAAAGGCAGTGGGAGGGTAAGATAGCAAAATGGATCAAAGGTCACAGAAACCTTAGCACATTCTGGACAAACCAAGGTAGATTTAAAGAGGCCATGAAAAGTATCCACAATCACAGAATCATTCCTCAATCTGTGATTCTCCCAGGCTTCCTTTGCCACCACCTAGAAGGAGAAGTGATAGACAGGACATTCTTAATTTCTCTCAGTGCTTTTCCTCTTCATAGAGAATGATTCACAACAAAGCCTGAGATGAACCAGGAGGTAGTCTGTGTAGTCAACAGCTTGGTCCAGGGCAGGACCAGAATTGCCCTCAGCCTATCAAATTCATACCATATGCCATCGCTAAATCCAATCTACACCTAAATTCAATGTCAGCATAGGATCTCAGGGAAATAACAAGTATATGTATCCTCTGATGGGAAACAGAAGCCCTGAGAGCACTATGCGCACACACACCAGGGCCAAGTAAATCCTCCCATGGTGGTTCCAATGATCCCAAGTAAGGTTTTAATCTTAGTTCACCTAACTCAGAGTTTTTTAATTACGATCTAAATGCTACTTTAGGCCAGGCAAGGTAGGTCACTCGTGTAATCACAGTACACTAGGAAGCCAAGGTAAGAGGATCCCTTGAGATGTTCAAGAGTTGGAGATCAGCCTGAACAAGAGCAAGACCTTGTCTCCACTAAAAATAGAAAAATTAGCTAGGCATTGCAGCGGGAGCCTATAGTCCCAGCTACTGGGAAGGCAGAGATAGGAGGATCCCTTGGACCCAGGAGTTTGAGGTTACTATGAGCTAGGCTGATGCTGCAGCACTCCACCCTAGGCAGAAGAGTGAGATTGTATCTCAAAAATAATAAATAGTGGCAGTGTCTGTGGCTCAAAGGAGTAGGGCGCCGGTCCCATATGCCAGAGGAGGCAGGTTCAAACCTAGCCCTGGTCAAAAACTACAAATAAATAAACAAAAATAATAATAAATAAGCTGGGTGCCCGTTGCTTAATGGTTAGGGCACTGGCCACATGCTCTGGGGCTGGTGGGTTCAAACCCAGCCTAGGCTTGCTAAACAAAAAAAAATAATAATAATGATAAGTAAACAGGCTCAGCACCCATAGCACAGCAGTTATGGCACCAGCCACATATATGGGGGCTGGTAGGTTCAAGTCCGACCTGGGCCTGCTAAACAACAATGACAACTACTACTACAACAACAACAACAACAATATAGCCAGACATTGTGGTGGTCGCCTATAGGCGAGAGAATTGCTTGAGACAAAGAGTTAGAGGTTGCTGTAAGCTGTGACACCATGACATGCTACCAAAGGCAACACAGTGAGACTCTGTCTCAAAAAATAAAAATAAAGGTTCGGCGCCTGTGGCTCAAGTGGCTAAGGCGCCAGCCACATACACCTAAGGTGGCGGGTTTGAATCCCCAGCTCGGGTCCGCCAAACAACAAGAATGGCTGCAACCAAAAAATGGCCGGGCGTCGTGGCGGGTGCCTGTAGTCCCAGCTACTT